ACACACACACACACAGAGTACAGGGACACAGACAGAGGAGAGACTCGACTGTGCACAAAAAAAGTTTTGCTAGTAAATCACCAGAACAGCTACAGTTGTCGCCTCTTCGACATGTTCTTCCTCTTGTGGCAGACTAGATGATTTGTAGGCGTATATGCTGCACTGTCGACATTGTCAAGGTACCGAAGTATTGGTTCTCGTAACATCATGTGTGTTACCATGGGTAAATAGTTTATAATAACATTAACGCCACACAGAGAGGCTAAGCAGACTTTTTTCCACACAGAAAATTGATCAGGAGTTAGTAAGGGAATCGATAAAGAACTGGACCGATAAGCAGAATCGATAATGGAATTCCTATCAATAAACTCTAATCAAATCCCATCCCGACGATGGATACAACAATGAATGAATGTCTGAGACACAAGACATGTTTCTTGGTCAAAAAAGAGGCCTATTTACAGATGCATCTATGTGCACAAAATGATTCACTTCAGAGCCTCGAGCCTAGAGTCAGAGGGCTCAACAAAACACTGAAGTGTGTGAAGGAGCTGAGCCGTTAATCAAAGATGGAGCCTCGAACTGCGTAACACGAAGGAGAAAGACAGGGAAGACATCAAAGGTGTAGTGATCAACACATTTAAGTAAGTGGCTCCGGGGATGCAGTAAGAATGAGTGATAGATGTGGAATATCACCTTGGTAAGTAGGTACTAGATGGCACTTCAAGGAAGGAAGGAAGAGAGATAGATAGATATCAATATATGTGGAAAATGGGACTTCATTCAGCTGACTATCTGTATAAAGTACACACAGTGAATATTCAATATCTCACTGTCTTTATTTGTATCACTGGTAGCAGCTATAAATTTAGGACTTGTGATAGCTTTAACATTATTTTAACCATTTACACAGATCCTTTGAAAGAGTTATTATGTCCTCAGTTTGGTTGTTGTTTGGTTACTTTCTTCATTTGAGTTTGAAATGAATGCTTTTCACATTTTACAAGTTTCACATAGATACCGAAAAAAAAACATGGTAAAAAGCATTTTAGCCATTTTGTTAATAAGACTTTGATGTACTGCATTTATCTGTGAACCATAAATATGACTAAATAATTAATGGAACAATGCCAGACCTTGTTTTATGCAAAAAAGCCTCTCATAATCCTAAATTTGCATTTAACACTCGGTTTGATAACAGCCTTTTAATCCCAGCAGAGCTCAGAAAGTCTTTACATCATCTCACAGTGGAGCATCACACATATTTTCTAATGATGAAAACAAACAGTTTCGATGTTATTCCAAACATTAAGACGGATCAACGGGGTGTCAAGAGGCATCTGAACGCACTGTTGACCGCCTGATACTAAGTAAGGATCTCTGACAGCGACAGGCTTTTAAGTAGGCACACAGAAAGGATGCATGCAATATGACTGGCACTGCAGAGCCATGGTTTTGTTCACTGTACTATACACATTACTTAATTATGAGATAAGATATATCTGCAGCCTAGTATCTCGGTAACCCAACCAACGTTGATCATGGATCTCACTTTTTTTCCCCCACACTTTTGGAATCTAGCCGTTCAGAATTTCCAGAATTAAGGATATCCAGCTGTCAGATTTCCACAGACCTCGCTGACAACAGTGTTCAGTCATGAAAACTGTCCACAGTTGGGGTCTTAGGAGCATCCTGTAATTTCTTATTACTGTCCTGTAGTTGTACTACAGTACCTAACTTAGGTAAGGCTTTACTAAGAAAGTAAACCCCTTTACTTATTACCTTACCTTTGTGTTACTTTCTAATAATCACAAGATAACAGTTAGTTGTCCTCTACGCAGCCTCACAGGTCTTTTCAGTTCTCCCTGTGTTACTGCTGCACAACTGGGTGAAACTAATCTCAGCCTGTTTGGCAGTGATTGAGGCGTTCCCACCATCATCTGTGGCGAGACACGGCTCATTTCTGGCTTCAGTTTCACACCTGCATGCAGGAACACGACGGATTGCTTTGTCATTTTTGCTGCTATGGACAGATGATTCTGAGTGGGACACAATTTACACTTTTATGCGATATAAATTCCAAATAACCACTTATCAAAGTCTACTGTGTAAAATTTCACTTTTCTGGTCTACCGACCACTAAAAAGCGCTTTACAACACTCGTCACATTCACGCATTCACACACACATTCATTCATACACTGATGGCAGAGGCTGCTGAAGGTGCCAGCCTGCTTAGGAGTGATACAGCACATCCTATCCAAAGTGCTCACAATGACACTAAGCTCACCCACACACACACCGACAGCACAGCCATCAGGAGCAATTTGGGTTCAGTTTCCTGCCAATGACCCTCCGATTACTAGACATCCCACTCTACCGCCTGAGCCACAGCTGACAACGGTATACTAGTATACACATATATATTATATATATGTATACACCAGCAACAACTTCATCTTCAATCATTCAAATACACAGATATTTGAACAACCAGCAGCTGTTTCACAAAAAGGTACCTACATCTATAAGGCTGCTTTTGTTTATATGCACAGTCCTGGGTCTTCCACTGTTCCAGGCCTGTACTTTCTGACTGAGTGAGCCTGCAGTTTGAAAAACAACACACCCTCTACAGAGGTTAACGTAGGATTGTTTTGATTGAACTTATCTCAAAATATTTTATATACTTGCTTTTATCTAAAGGGCCTATTCCCCTATTCTTTTGTTTATTTCCCACATTATTTAGCATTTAAAGGGCACTACAGAAACATAAAGGTTATTACTGGTGTTACAATTATGACTGTGTGTTTGCGGTGGTTTTGTTTTCAATTTAAAGCCAAGCTCTCTGCTCCTACACGTGTGTTCATGCTGATCAAATGTGTGGTGCTTGATACTGTACCTATGATAACATGTGCCCCCAGTCTGGCCATGTGGCGGGCTACCTCATAGCCGATTCCCCTGCCTCCTCCTGTCACTATGGCAACCTTGCCATCTTGTCTGGGCATCACTGGCAGAGGCAGAAGAGGACACACAGATATCAGGGAGAATGTCGTTTGATAAGGAAGCTGCTTCAAGACGGGCCGCTATGTCAAGACATGAGAAGTCCTTGTAGTTAGACCTGTAGATGATCTCAGATGAACTTTATCTAGGTTTTTGAATTCCTGTGGTACAGTACAGCAGTGTTACTTCACTTTCTTAGAGTTTCTGAGTTGTGTTGTTGAAATGGATTAGAGTAGTAAGCTGGATGGTTTCCTGTATGAGCAGACATCCTGCCCAAAAAAATGTAAGAAATAATAACAAATCTCTCTATATAAATATAGTATGGTGGAACTTCTACATTGGGTACGAACTGTACCCAC